CTTTAATTGTAGCTTTTTTATTGTAAATTTGTTGTGAAAAGAAAAAATGTATAGCTTTCGCTTTTTAAGAAAAAATGGTATGTAGTGCTAACTTGACACCATACACCTAGTCGATAGAATTGAGATATTGAAAATGTTATAACGGCATTAATTGTAGCTTTTAGCTTTAAAATTTGTTGTGGAAAGAAAAAATTTGTAGCTCTCGTTTTTTAAGAAAAAATGGTATGTAGTGCTAACTTGACACCATGCACCTAGTCGATAGAATTGAGATATTGAAAATGTTATAACGGCATTAATTGTAGCTTTTAGCTTTAAAATTTGTTGTGGAAAGAAAAAATTTGTAGCTTTCGTTTTTCTGGAAAAAATTGAGTTGACCCTTTTTCGAACAAAATTTAGTATGTAGTGCTAACTTGACACCATGCACCATTGACGACAGAATTGAGATATTGAAAAGGTTACAGCTGAATGTAATTATTTTGTCAATCATTATTTTCTTTACCCACTTCCTCTTTCAGATCGTGTTATAGCAATTGAACCAGCTCAAATCTCTGGGCCTTTACAGCTCGACAAGATCCCGAAATGTTTGCGTGCTGGCGAGGAAACTCTTAAACTGGTTGGATGCGTCGGCTTTAGGGTGTAAACAATACTGGATCGCGATGCTCAACCAACTTGGGCCACTACATCGGCATCGCCTTCCGAAGAGGAAAGATTATAATATACGATGACCTAAACGACAGAGAGATAGCTACAAAGTCAACGCACAAAATAGTGCTAAGTCTTTTAATTTATGTAATTATATAAATAATAAAAAAAATGTTATACCCATCGAAATCTATTATTTCCTACTTTTACTAAATATAATTTCAAGCGCTACGTAGTAACTTTCTCGATATCTCAATTCTATCGACAATGGAAGTTAGCGCTACATACCATTTTCTCTTAAAACACGATAGCTACAAATTTTTTCTTTCCACAACAAAAAAGCTACAATTAATTCCGTTGTAACCTTTTCAATATCTCAATTATATCGTCAATGGTACATGGTGTCGAGTTAGCACTACATACTAAATTTTGTTCGAAAAAGGGTCAACTCAATTTTTTCCAGAAAAACGAAAGCTACAAATTTTTTCTTTTCACAGCAAATTTTAAAGTTAAAAGCTACAATTAATGGCATAGTAACATATTGGATATCTCAATTCTATCATCTAGGTGAATGGTGTCAAGTTAGCACTACATGCCATTTTTTTCTTAAAAACCGAAAGCTACAAATTTTTCCTTTCCATAACAAATTTACAACAAAAAAGCTACAATTAATGCCGTTTAACCTTTTCAATATCTCAATTCTGTCGTCAATGGTGCATGGTGTCAAGTTAGCACTACATACTAAATTTTGTTCGAAAAAGGGTCAACTCAATTTTTTCCAGAAAAACGAAAGCTACAAATTTTTTCTTTCCACAACAAATTTTAAAGTTAAAAGCTACAATTAATGCCGTTATAACATTTTCGATATCTCAATTCTATCGACTAGGTGTATGGTGTCAAGTTAGCACTACATACCATTTTTTCTTAAAAACTGAGAGCTACAATTTTTTTCTTTCCACAACAAATTTACAACAAAAACACTACAATTAATGCCGTTGTAAC